ACCCAAAGTAAAAGTTGGCTGATAAGGAGAAAAGCTGATATTGGGAGGGGGGGATTTTAGGCCAATTCCAGACCCTGAAGCACTCCCACCTTGATCACGCATCACCATGTACCTTCCTCCTATTAAAGATTTTCCCAGAGTATTCAACTCTGTTTATACATTCTAGAGTCAAGAAGAGGGATGCGGGGCCTTCCAGATGTTGAACTGCAACTCCCAGCAGCTCCAGACTTCACAGATGATAGTGACATAATGTTACAGTATGTCTCAATTCATTTTTTTAAAAATGAAAAAGAAACATTAGAGTTCATGAAGTACTTCTTCTGTCCTAAGAAAACTGTTGGAGAGCAAGCGAGGGAGGGAGAAGCCCTTGGTCAGGCTTTACTCTGTTGAGATAAGTCTGTGTGCAGGTATAGTACTTCAGGCTATAAGCTGGCACTCACATGGTTGAATATCTGCAGTACAAAATACCCAAAATATTTATAAATAACTTGCCAAAAAAAGGGGAATTTCCAATCAGAGCCATTCCAAAGCTGAAATTATTGTCCAATGTTTTGACATCCATTTCATTATGAAACACAAATGCAGGTGAGAAAGTCTCAAAATATAAACACTAAATGATACCAGCTAAATGTCTCTCCCTGTTTTTGCTGTTTTATTTTGTTCTGCTGTAGGAATTCGTGAGGCTCACTGTGTCTGATATATTGGTGACGTTTGTAACAATACTTGTGGGGGACTTCCTCAGAGCTTGCTTTGTCAGATTTGTAAACTATTGCTGGTGTTGGGACCTAGAGGCTGGCTTTGTAAGTAAATGATCTATGTGTGAAATATTTTGTTTAGATAACAAATCTACTCCAAAGTCACAGGGAATTCAGATCTTATCCAATACAGACACTTTGCATTTCCTCTCCTGTAACCTAAGATAAGAATGATAGAGCTCTCCAAATGCTATTGGACTACAGCTCCCAGTATTCTACATTATAGGCTGTTCTGGTTAGGACTACTTACATTTGTGGTCCATTAATATTTGGAGGGCTATATGATTTCCACCCCTCCTTAAGCAAAGGATAGCCTAATGGCCCACAAAAGACAAGGCTTATAAATATTTCATGCCCCATAATATCTAGACCACAACTCTGGATACACTGACCTGTTCCTGAGCTTTCCAACCTGGGAAATTACTGCAGAAAAATAAACTGCACTTCTGCAGCTCCTGAGCAAATATGCATAGGATTGTT